TTGGCTGCTGTTATGGCAAAAAGCTACAAGGAGAAAGAGGTATGTTTGAGTGACCCATCCACCTCATAGCAGCATACAAGGAATCCAAGACTAAGGTTCTGTGCCTTGAGAAAATGACATTTAGCAGAACTCCTGGAATATTTTTAGAGTAGCATTCTGAAAGTGCAGAAGCGGGGCGGACAGCAATGTTATTACAGAAGAGTGGGGAAGAAAGACCTCTGTTGCCATCTGTTAGGATGCAGATTGTCATTCTGATGTTTGCAAGGCCATATCTCCTTAGCCTCCATAACAGAACTGTAAAGATGTGTGTGCATGAAAACACTGAAGAAAATCTATGACTTTAAAAATCATTGGCATACATATGAATTTCCTTTTTTTTTACTTTGATTGAACTGAGGAACAGAGAACCCAGAAGTCCCATGTCAATTTCATGGAATTGTAGAATCATAGAGCTGGAAGAGACGTTGTGGGTCATCCAGTCCAACCTCCTGCCAAGAAGCAGGAAAATCGCATTTAAATCACCCCTGACAGATGGCCATCCAGCCTCTGTTTAAAAGCCTCCAAAACAGAGAGCCTTTTCATATCCTTCTAACATACCCTTCAGGACCAGATAGGTGACACGGTGGCAACTATTGAGTATTTATATCCTTTTATATACATAGTTACCTGCTACGTAATTTTCCACCTCAACTATGACCTTCCTGTCGACCCCAGAATTGCCTTGGTTCCCCCTTCCAACCCCAGTGTTTCCTGTCTGGAATTCATTGGAGGAGCTGGAGGTCCCTGTCCCCACCCCACCCCTTCAAAGCATGGGCCCTTCTAGGAGTCTTCTAGGTCTTCCAGTGCAACTCTGTGGTATCCCTTGCAGAGGAAGCCCTTTCCACCTGTAGAATTAGATCCCATCCTGGGTTTTGTTTATCCACATTTGACAAAATATGTCCCCTCTGGGTATTTCCTAGGTCCTCTAGTTCCACTCTATGGTATTGCTGTGCAGGAAGTCCTGTATTCCAATGGAAATATGTCCACTCTTGGTTTCTCCAACATAGTTCTATGGTATTGTTGGACCACAAATCCTTCCTTTAAAAATAATTGTTTATTGTATATGAACAAGACAGCTTCTGATGATCAAGTAAAAGCTTGATTAGTACAAAATTCACAGGCTCCACTATTAGGATATGTATTTCCTGAGGTTAAAAAGAGGGATATCAGTTTTCACCCCCAAATGGTTCAACAGAATAGTTATAAGACATGGCAGTATACTGTAATGGTTTGAGTGTTGGGCTACCAGTCTAGAGACAGGGTTCAAATCCTCACTCAGCCACAGAAACCCACTTGGGCAAGTCACATTCTCTCTGGCACAGAAAGAGGCAAAAGCAAACCCTTTCAAAACAAATTTTCCCAAGAAAATCCTGTAACACATTCTCCTTGAGATTCGTCATAAGTCAGAAACAACCTGAAAGAAAACAACGGCAGCAGTTGGAAGACTGGGAACCCTTTGTTTTTACAGAACATATGAATTTTCATGTAGTCATCAGGTTTAAAAATATGTGGAGTAATCATATTGATATATCTCTATATATATATATTTCTGCAAATTTACAGTTTTTGCCTACATTGAAAATGTGGCATTAGCAATCAGTCTGTCTTATTCAGTTAAATAAATAAAATAATTGCGAGGATATTTGGCAGAATATTGCCTTTTCTATTTCCTCAGTGTGAACGTTCTGTAGAGAGGCAGAGGACTTCACTCCCCAAGCTTGCCAATCCCTTATCTTTTGTGAACTTTAAATTAATTTTTAAAAACCTATTTATTCAAGGTTGACTAAACCGTTAGAATAGGAAAGATCAGACAAATCAGTAGCAAGAAAGGAAGTATGAGGAAACCAGAACTCTTTGACAAAGTTTCCCGAGGGGCAAGTGTGCTGAATGAAGCCAGCAGGGAAACGATAAGGGCATTTATACTGTGGATATAAGAAAGCAATTTATCAAGAGTACATGAACTCTCCAGTGACCACAAGCAAAGAAGATACGAAAGTACATGGGGAGGAAGAAGACCCCCTACAATATCATTTTACAGGCTGACAAAAAAACCATTAAAATGTCTATAGTGCCATAGGGCAAGTTCATTGCTTTAAACATTTTAAACCATTAAGATTCTTGGGTTTTTTTATGAAATGCAGTTTTACTTTCTGTAGCAATGATGTTCACAGTTGTCCTTTGAATATATCAGTTGGCCTCTGTTTTTTCCCTTGTCTTATCTACACCTTCCGTTTTTACCGTTTAAGACCTTGACTGTGACAAATGGAGAGACACACAAAGTTTCTTCCAATGATGTAAAAGTTCCTAAATATTAGTCACTTGTTTAATAAATTGGATGAATTCCAGAGATAGTTCATTTCTATGATGATTGAAGGTATATCAATTATGTTATGTTATATACACTATATAGTTGGAAGCCTGTGTGTGCTCACATAGGTACGTATGTATTTTTGAAAAATGATTAACAGAGAAATTATATAGAAACCTATATGCAAGTGGAATTCTGGAAAGAAAATTGATCTTGTGTTTTTTCTGGCTATATCAAAGTTGTGTTGATATGACAAAGAAGATGCATATGACTCAAAATTCTTGATGACTATTTGTTATATCTTTTATTAAGCAGTGAAGATAGCAGAATGCTGGTATACATCTCTTATTTTATTTTGGAGTGGCAAGGAGCCTGTGGGTATTAGGTTCCAAGGTGTGAAGACTAGAGCCCTTAGTTGTTTGCTGTGGGAAACTTGTAAAAGGTTTTTAAAAGAAAGCTATTTATATTAGTTCAGAACTTGATGCCACACCTATCACCAAGTCTGATAAAGTGCCTAATGCTCCATCTAGTCAGTTTTCTTGGGATCGTTTTCATTTGCTGCTACTTGATTACGTGGATAATATGCTTGACTCAATTCATCCCACTTAGGGATACAATTTTAACAGTTGTCTTCTTAGTGCAAGAAAGTCTTCAAAACCTGCAGTTTCTGAAAACTTTTCACAGCTCAGGACTTATTTTGTGCAGATTTGTACATATTTTGTGCAGAAAGCAATATTTTCTGAAGAGAAAGCAGTATTTTTCTGGCACTGAAAATATTTCTATATAGAAACACTTTCTGCATAAGTACTGTTTTGTATGCAAAATAAGTCCCCAAATGGATACTGCTGCTGTAGTTACTTGATCCCAAAATCTGTGGATGCTCAACCCATTATACGATGCCCCTTATAATAAATGGCAAACACAAAGTTTGCTTTCTGGGCTTTTGTAAGAAATACATTCAAGCAATGGATGGCTGCATACTTGACTGTATAACAGCTAGATTTCTGACTGAAACACCACATGGCAATCATATAACATCACTTTAAAGGAATTGCATTGGCTTCTAGTAAAAATTCAAGGTGTTAGTGGTAACTTTTAATACTCTATCTGACTTGCAATTTCAATTCTTGAAGCAGGAGGTCTCCCTGTATAATTACTCACAGTTTCAGGACTGTTAGATGATCCACTTTTATTTTCTTTCAGTAGGGTGGGCTGCTGCACTGGAATTACATGACAGAGAACATGTATTTTTGTAGCTGACCAGTTGTGGCATTCAGGGGCCCAGTTAACACCAACACTGGTGACAATCCAGTGCCCAGAAAAGTCTTTGAGGTCTTATAACTTTATTCTAAATTATCATATATATATGCTTTTAAAATGCTTTAACCGGATTTAAACTGTCTTGTATTGTTAAATTGTTTTATTTTCACACCTTTATCAATGTACAATATTCACAATTGTTTTAAATAATAATAAACTATTTAAATTGCTTTAATCTTCCCCTCCTTCCGATTCTTGGGCATATGGTAGGATATAAATATTTTCATAAAATATATGAATAAATTGATGTAAGTAAGAGTCAATTTCACTTTGGAATTAGAGGGGGGCATGAGATCATGTTTGAAAAGCTGGGCTTGCTTTATAAATATTTTTGCAACTCTCAATCGCTTTTAAAATAGTGAACATTCATTTATTTTATCAATTTTGCAAGTACTACACGAAAACCACTGTTTTACACACATTCTGTCTATTTCTGTTAATTTTAGAGAATTAGGTTATTAAGATTTCTTTTTTAAAAAAAAGATAACATTAAACTTAATTAAATATACTACTACTACTACTACTACTACTACTACAATAATAATAATAATAAACTTAATTTATATTCCACCCTATCTCCCTGAGGGGACTCAGGACAGTTAACAACAAATATCAGCAAACATTAAATGCCATAAAAACTAGACTGTGACAAAGTAATCCACCCCACCATAACCCAAAGCAAACTATGTCTACATCAAAAGTAACAGCAGATTAACAAGAATTAAATAATAACATAACAAATATATGATTCTGCAGCTTACATTGGGAAGAAACAACCAGAGTCTAAACAAAGCAAAACAAGGTAAAATATTGCAATTTTTGCAACCGGCAGTTAGAATGACCAGACATTTCTGCTCCGTGGTGACTATGCATGATATTATATGACTCCTCGTCTCAATATGCTTGGGAGCAAAAATTGTTTTTTAATAGCTTTAAAAAGAGAATAAGGAGGGGGCCATTTTTATTTCTTTGGGTAGGGAGTTCCAGAGTCCAGGGGCAATCATGGAGAAAGCCTCTCTCTCGTTCCCACCAGCCGTGCATGAGATGGGGGTGGGACCGAGAGCAGAACCTCCTCCGCTGATTGTAGTGACTGAGCAGCTTTGTAATTGGAGATGCAGTTTGCCAAATAAAATGTATCTAGTAGTTATTTCATCCCAAGATGCAACACTTCCACATACATATTTTAACAACTTATCTTCAAAGTTACATCTTGTTTTTGAATTGTTGCTCACATGAAGCCATATGCTCAGGAATGTACATTATACAGTTTAATGTTAGTCTAAATTGCTTCTTCTCATCGTTCAATTCTCTTTCTTTCCACTATCTCCCCCAGCTTTGGACAAGCTTAGCACTCAGCATCTCTACCATCCAACGCAAGTGGAGATTGTACAATCCAATGTTGTGTTTGACATCAGCAGCTTGATGCTCTATGGTACCCAGGCTGTACCAGTGAGACTGAAGATATTGCTAGATCGTCTCTTCAGTGTGTTGAAACAGGAAGAAGTACTGCATATCCTGCATGGTTTGGGCTGGACGCTTCGGGACTATGTGAGGGGCTACATCCTTCAGGTAGGAACCAGACTAGTGCATGAATTAACTAATGGACAGTCCCTGATTCTGGGTTGTGAAAAGTATTATGTCTTCACATTTTCTCTCTCTACTACTTTAGGATGGATTCAGTGTCTGTAACTGGGAGTAGAAAGAAAGGGAAAATGATGTTATCAAAATTGGACCTATCTTCAATGCTATGGAAAACAGCACCAGAAAATTCCTCAACACATTATAGCCTATAGCATGGCAGAAATATGATGTGGCTGGTAAACCCTAAGATAGACTTTGAAGAGTTTCAGGGCTCATATATTAAACAGTTATAGTTTCAAAACAATGGAAAGCCCTAGTGGTCCTGGGTTTGAAATAAAGATTAATAAAGAATCAGAATTATGGAGGAGCACAAATTAAATTTCACAAGATATATACCTATATCTAAGAATAGTGGATATCTTGAAAAATGTAAGCATACACACACACAGACACACACACATACATACACGCACACATACCATGCTCATCTGTTATAATTCAGTATCTGCTGCCTTAATGCAAATAATATCTGGATTTTATTAATTGCTTCACATTAAGCTGTGTAGGTGGCTTGCACCCATCTGGCTCATGATGTAATTTTAGTGCGACCATTGATATCGAAGACATGGAAATGCTACTCAAAAAAGATTGTACAAGTAATGAATAATATTACATTTTGTTAGCACTTTACTGAAGATATTTTTTAAATATCCAAAATAAATAACTAAACTTTTAACCCTGTCCTCTCCCAAGATGTTTGGAATGATGAGGAAGTGTTATTGGAATGTTGGCATCTTTCTTAGAAAATTAAGAATCTCCTTTTTTTTCTGCTGACATTAAATTACTGACTTCCCAAATCTCCTTTCACTCTCAAAAATGTGGAATGATTAATGTCACCTCTCCGCAGACTTCAGAAACCTATAGTGATTTCTGGTCAATTCCAGATGAGGAAATTGATTTGCAGCTGACTTCAACACTGTAAGAGTAACATAGGGTGAAATTTGTTCCCTGCCACAGCCATAGCCTTGAGAACATATTGCATTATAATCTAAAAATTGTATAAAATTATAAGTGAAATTGCAGACATTCTTACATTGGTGTGTCAAAAGGTTTATGTTTTAATCCCATATACACCTACCTGAAAGTGAGGGCCCTTCTATAGAGCCCTATAAACCAAAAATATCAAGGCAGATAATCCACAATATCAGCTTCCAACCGGGTTATCTGAGTCCACACTGTCATATAATCCAGTTCAATGTGAATTTCATACAGTCTACAGTCCCTTCCACATCTATATATATAAATCTGTTAGGTTGGTTCAACGGGACAGCAAAACTCCACAACCCCCCAACGAAACTTAACCAAAATTCCCATGCCCATAACACAATCCACAAGGTACAAACATATCTACTCAAAATGAAAAACAACACAACAACACACTCACAAAACGGCAAAACAACAAAACTCAAAAAAACCAACGAAACTTAACCAAAATTCCCATGCCCATAACACAACCCACAAGGTACAAACATATCTACTCAAAATGAAAAACAACACAACAACACACTCACAAAACGGCAAAACAACAAAACTCAGAAAAAACCCCAACGAAACTTAACCAAAATTCCCATGCCCATAACACAACCCACAAGGTACAAACATATCTACTCAAAATGAAAAACAACACAACAACACACTCACAAAACGGCAAAACAACAAAACTCAAAAACTCCCCAATGAAACTTAACCAAAATTCCCATGCCCATAACACAACCCACAAGGTACAAACATATCTACTCAAAATGAAAAACAACACAACACACTCACAAAACGGCAAAACAACAAAACTAAAAAAACCAACGAAACTTAACCAAAATTCCCATGCCCATAACACAACCCACAAGGTACAAACATATCTACTCAAAATGAAAAACAACACACTCACAAAATGGCAAAACTACAAACCTAAAAAAAACCCCAACGAAACTTAACCAAAATTTCCATGCCCATAATACAACCCACAAGGTACAAACATATCTACTCAAAATGAAAAACAACACAACAACACACTCACAATATGGCAAAACAACTGAGCATGCGCATTGGTGCCCAGCCGCAAGTTCCCTGGGCGCACACACAGCCTTCCGGCCAACGTTCCCTCTGCGGAAGCCATGCCCACTCCAAGCCGCGCCGCTTCCCGTACACACACACACCCTGCTGCACGCACACACACAACCCCACGCTCCATCACTCCCCCCGCCGCCGCAAACACACACGCAACCCCACGCTCCATCACTCCCCCGCCGCCGCACACACACACGCAACCCCACGCTCCATCACTCCCCCAGCCGCCACACACACACACAACCCCATGCTCCATCACTCCCCCCGCCGCCGCACACACACACGCAACCCCACGCAACCCCATTATTATGCTATTATTCCTATTAGACCCTGGGGGAATGGGAGAGGTGTCAGGTCCCAGAGGCAATGCATTGCATTATTGTTATTGTTATGATGATGGTGAAATAAAAGGAAATAAAAAGAGAAAGAAGGAAGCAAACAGGGAGGGAAGAAAGGCAAAGGAAGAAAGGGGGAGGGAATGAAGGAAAGAGAGAAGGATAAAACCAAATAGTGAAAGAAGGAAAGAAAGAAAGAGGCAGAGAAGGAAGAAAGGAGAGAAAAGGGGAGGAAAAGGGGGAAGGAATAGGTAGGTACCTCTCTTTCATAATAGTCCAGATATCTACCTCAACTTTGATAAGTTTAACTATAGGCCACAGCAACGCGTGGCAGGGCACAGCTAGTACTGTATAAAATCCTACATTATCTGCTTTGAACTGGGTTAAATGGCAGTGTAGACTAAAATAACCCAGTTCAAAGCAGATATTGTGGATTTTCTACCTTGATTTTCTGGGTTATATGGTTGTATGGAAGGGCCCTAAGTCTCTTTGAACATCCAAGACTGCCTCAGAACTGAATCCCTAAGAGCCCTTCCACACAGCCCTATATCCCAGAATATCTAGGTAGAAAATCCCACACTATCTGCTTTGAACTGGGTTATCTGAGTCCACACTCAGATAATGTAGGATTTTCTGCCTTGATATTCTGGGATATAGGGCTGTGTGGAAGGGCCCTAACTGAGATGTGTGCCTTAGACTGTAGGTTTCAGGTTTAATGAAATGGCAAAAAACCCATTTATTTTTCAATGCCAGGGTGAGGAAGATATTTGTCAGACCTTCTGCCTTGCATATGAAAGGGACTCTCCCAGCCAACGCAGTTGGCTGGGAGAGCGATTTGCCCCTCCCCTCAGAAGGCAGAGAAGGGAGGTTCCTTTGAACCTCCTAGAAGAAGGGAGGGGGCTGGCTGAGCACGTGAGCCAGCCTCCTTCCTTCAGTCTGGCTAAGACTTTCTACCCGCCACTCCCGCCCATTGACAGTATATTTGGTTGCCCGTTGGAGCCGGGTAGGAATTTTTTGCCTCTCATGTTCTGGGGGGTTTTTTCGCCTACCCTATACTGTTATTAGGGGCTAGATGGGGTGGTTCGGTTTAACTAGGTTAGCATAAATAGATCAGGAAAACACAGACATGGAGGTATACGCAAGGCACCCCTTAAGGGTGGGGGGCAGTGTACAACAATCACTCACCTAGAAGTCACCAAATGGGTGAGGGGACATCACTTGGCACAGAAATTGGAGAAGCCGATTACAATAATATGAGACAGGCTTCTCCAGACTTTTACCTTCAGGTTGCCTGGTTGGGGATCCAGGGCACACAGATATTACACACTAAATAGCCGAGGACGCTGCCTCGGCTAGCCACCAAGTTCCTAGACACATAGTTTAGTTCAGTTGAACTTAAATAGGTAACATTCAATAAAAGTTGCCCAATTTGAATCCATATCATTGTTGTCTGTCTCGTTATTTCTGGGGTGGAGGGGCAAATAATGTGGCATGATTTCGTTGATAAATGCCTTGATGCAGTAGATGGATGAATATGCCATTCTGCCTCAGGCAGGAGAGGACAACTTTAGTTCAGACCTTAATTGCATTGTTCTGAATTGTAAGCCTTATCTAGTAATGCTATCTAGCAATGCTTTGCTTGTTTTCTTCTCACAGGAAACAATAATATTTTTTAGTAATTTTCTTCCTGCCCCAAGAAAGTGTTTTTGAAAACTGTGGAAAAATATTTGTATAGGAAGTGCTCCAACTAGAGACTTTTGCACAAAAATTATACATTTATATTTTCTTTGCACAGAACAGATAATTTTCTCCACTAAAAATCTACACCAGAATAATATCTTTTGCACAGATAATGCTGTTTTTCTGTGCAAGAGACTATGTACAAACTTTTGTGCATAATATATTTTGAATTGTGAAAGCTACCATCAGTCCAGACTTCTCCCCAGAGTTTCTCAACACTTGGGAAACACTTTTTAAAAACATTCTTTTTCAAATGTTTGCAAAGATTCTTTCCAGCCCCACTTCTCCCTAACTAAACCCAAATTTCATGGAAACCAACCTCCTTTATAAGCATTACATCTAAACCAGTCCAAGCAGTCAGAAGCAAGGTTTTCTGATACAGATCTAGTAATCTCAACTCTGTGGATTAGTTGAATCAGTGGGATTTATATAAGTGCTAATTTGTCATTCGCAGTGAATTTTCTGTAGCTGAGACAGTGTCCAGTGGATTTGACTCACTGCTATTCAGAAACATAATCTTAGAAACCTCAATAACAACTATGTAATGACTAAGTTGTAGAAGCTTTGTTCACTGATGGATCTATGGATCGTAATAAATATTGTTCTTGTAGTAGAAGTTTTTGAAATGAATGAATACTGTATATGTTTCATAGTTGAAAAGTGAGATGCTTCTCCACAATGAAAGGTCACTACTCAATCCATTCCTGCCTCTACATTATATGGAGGGACTCTTCTCTTTGCAGTTCACTGACTCCTATTCCACAACTTGTTACTAAATTTCCTAGATGC